TAATGACTTACGATGCAACTTCGCTAAGACTGATTTTTATTTTTGTGGCGATAATAAAGATGATAATATTTGAATTGACTTAACGCGGTTTTGGCAGCTGGAGGAAATAAGTTCCAAGTCATCTCATTATTCACCTGAGGAGAAGTTGTGTGAGGATCATTTTGTAAGAAATACGTCACGTCTTGATGATGAGCGTTTTTGCGTTCGGTTACAAAGAGATAGGTTATTGGGATTCATTTATTGCTTGTTCTCCTTAGAGCGTAGATTAAAATGTAAGCCTGACATCAAGCAGATGTATTATGAATTTATGTCTGAATATCAGTCACTGGGACACATGACAATTTGTGAAAGACCTAATTTAAGTAATGGCGCGTATTTTATACCTCATCGTGGCGTACTCCGTGAAAGTAGCACTACGACTAAGCTTAGAGTAGTTTTTAATGCAAGTTGCCCGACGTCGTCAGGTATTTCGTTTAACGAAATACAAATGGTCGGTCCTGTAGTTCAGGACGACTTGACGTCGATTTTGTTACGTTTTAGGCAACATAAATACGTTTTGTCTGCAGATGTGGAGAAAATGTACAGGTGCATAATCGTTCATCCTGATGACAGGCACCTTCAGCGGATAGTCTGGCGTAACAGTCCTAGTGAGCCTATACAGACCTTTCAATTAAATACTGTCACGTACGGTACGGCAAGTGCACCATTTCTCGCAACACGCTGCCTGAAACAACTTGGTCTACAGTGCAAAAACAAAGCCATAGCGGACCTCATAATGCATGATTTTTATGTCGGTGATCCGCTTACGGGTGCTGATGACTTAGATGACGTAAAGGCCATACGTCAAGGGGTTGCCGAAGTATTGGCATCTGCTCGTATGCCATTACGAAACTGGAGATCGAACGATCCAGAGTTACTGTCAGAAATTGCCAATACATCACTTGACCTAAATATTGGTTCTCGCGAGCCAGACAAGTTGTTAGGTCTTGGCTGGCATTCGGATACAGATGAACTCTGCTTTCCATTGAATTCACTAGTTCCCGATGGCAATACTAAGCGTGATTTGCTTTCAGTGATTGCACAAATCTTTGACCCGCTGGGTCTTTTAGCCCCGTATGTAATCACCATGAAAATGTTGATACAAAGGCTTTGGTTAGACAAACTTTCATGGGATGAACCACTGTCTCCCGAAATTAAGAAACGCTGGTATGGCATTATCAAATCTCTTCCTCTCTTAAATAACATTCGTATTCCACGAGTAGTTATCTGTGAGTCATGCCGGGTGCTGCAACTGCATATTTTCACTGACGTTTCTGAGTGCGCATACGGTGCGTGCATTTATGTTCGAAGCGTCAGCGATAAGACACAAGTTATGGTTCGATTATTAACGGCTAAGAGCCGTGTAGCCCCAATCAAACCCACAACAATACCACGATTGGAGTTGTGCGGTGCGTTGGTAGGAGCTCGTCTTTATGAGAAGGTTGTAAATTCCCTTCGTGTTAAAATTGACCAAGTCTTCTTTTGGACAGACTCCACGATTGTTTTGAGGTGGTTGCGAATGTTGCCTTGCAAACTTCAGCCTTTCGTGCGTAATCGTGTCACTGAAATTTTGGATAAGGCCAGTGACCATAAGTGGGGACACGTCCCAACAGATAGGAACCCAGTAGACTTAATATCTCGTGGTGTGGATATCAGTGCTCTGGCAGGTCTTAGATTGTGGTGGTCAGGTCCAGATTTTTTAATGTATGAAATATCAAAATGGCCTTCTCAGCCTAAGAATGTTGAAACATTGCCGGAAACGCGTCATGATATTATATTAACTGCAGTCACTACTCATCCAAAAAATAATGATTGTTTCATTGATTTTAGTCGTTTCTCGAATTATTCACGCCTTGTACGTTCCGTAGCTTACGTTTTACGATTCATTATGTCTTGTAAAAGACAGTTTATTCCTTCAAATTACTTAACGGAGTTAGAATTACGAAACGCGTTAAATATTATAATTTCAAAGTGTCAATATGATTCCTTTTCAGAGTACAGTTTGCTTCTGAATAAACAAAATTTTCCCTTAGAAAAGCCCACTTCTTAAATTTAATGTATTTTTAGACGAAAATAAAATTATGCGTGTTGGTGGTCGTCTTGATAATTCTAAATTTTCATGTAATAAAAATCATCCTATATTATTATAGTCCAATCATATATTTACAAAATTATTATTTGACCATGACCATAAAAGGCTTAATGCACGCAGGCCCACAGCTACTGTTAGCAAACATTAGAGATACTTATTGGCCGATAGGTGGTCGAAGCCTAGCGAAGGCCTGTTATCATAAATGTATACGATATCATCGCATGAAGGGTAAGGTTTCGAATCCACTAATGGGTAACTTGCCACAGCAGCGTCTCCTTTCGGCTTTCCTTTTGAGACCGTAGGAGTCGATTATGCTGGCCCTGTTATGAGCGCCACTCGTCAAGGTCGTGGGTGTCGACTGGTAAAGTTTTATATATGTATTTTTGTCTGTTTCACTACCAAGGCGATTCATTTAGAGTTGGTAGGTGACTTAACCAACAATAACTATTTGCTGGCATTGCGCAGGTTTATAGCTCGAAGAGGTAAGCCAGTTAATATTTATTCCGATAACGGTGCTTCTTTGTTGGTGCATACAATGACTTATCCAAATTTTTAAAGGGCAATTGCTATTCTTTGAGCGAAAGCATGGCCAATGATAATGTTAACTTTCATTTTATTCCGGCGTATACTCCTCACTTCGGTGGTCTCTGGGAGGCGGGAGTCAAATCGACAAAATATCATTTGCATAGAGTGTTGGGCAATTGTCACTTAACGTATGAAGAACTTTACACCACGTTGACCCAGATCGAAGCAATATTGAACTCCCGGCCACTCACTCCACTATCTTCAGATCCTGCAGATTGTACGCCCCTCACTCCGGGACATCTTTTAATTGGGCGTGCGCTGTCTTCTTTACCGCAACCGGACTACCAGCATCACCCCACTCCGTTATTAACCAGATTCCAACGCATTGAACAACTGCGCCTTTTTGGGAAGCATTTTTGGGAACGATTGAGCAAGGAGTACGTCTCAGAACTTAAAGCTTAAAGATAAACGATTTGGTGGTAGTCAAGTAAGACAACCTTCCACCGCTGAAATGGAAGTTGGGAAGAGTCGTTGCAATTCACCCAGGAGCCGATAGCATTGTTCGAATTGCAGACATCAGAACTTCTAATGGGATTATCAAGAGGGCATTTAACCGGATTTGCCCATTACCGGTGTCATTTAATTCTGGTTGAAATCAAAGATTTCAACACCCGGGGGCATGTTGGAGTGCCTGCGCATTCTTTCTGAGCAAAGAGATAAACAACGTACTTGTAATAATTACGTCCGTACTTAACGTTAATTTTAAACAGGGTCTTTGTCTTTGCAATATATAATTACCCTCTCAGCTGTTGTAAGATCAATACAATCGTCCAAGACCACATTCAAGTTGCATTATTTTAAAATTCCCGTGAACTCCCGAACACAGCCTCTCGGGTCATCTGAGGCGGCTGGGACTACGTGGCGGACCGCTCTAGTCTCTTATGCAGAAAGCGGTGCTCCTCGATACCGCCCGCACCGTCCGCCGGTTTCTTTCCCTTTCCCCCTAACCCTCGGCCGTTTAGTCTCCCCCTGCCGAGGGCCTCCATCTGGTTGGGCTTTTATTTATATATGTATTTTTATATTTATTTTATGTTATTGATATTTATGTATATTTATCTTTTCATTTTCATTTATAATTATATATTTATAGAACCCAACCAGATGAGAAAACTATATTGATTCCCCCTCAATAATAATAATATTTTAAATAGTATTTTAAAATATTAATCATAACAATAGTGATAATTAGTCGTAGGTTTGTTAACGCACCGCGCGGTCACTCGCTACTTTGGTGGGGAGCGGTTGTGTCGCCGTGTATAAATAGCAGCTGTTTCGGCTCTCCGCTCATTTAGCGGTCAGCCGACGTAGAGTCTACATCGCCTGAGGATGCCTCGTGTAGAGGCGAAACACGTGTCATATTATCGTCGATGGTGTGTCTTTCCCGGAATAGTGGTGTTGGAAGTAGTAGTGCCGGGAGTAGTGCATGCAATTGGGGCGGAGTTCCTTCATCCAGTACACATCATTTATTTACGCGAAGGTTGCGAGGTAATTAATATTTTTATTATAATGGATTTCCGCAAAGTAAGGCCTGATTCTATCAATTATGATTGTAAGTAGTTGCTGCGGCCCATAGATATCTACATCTATCCTCGATTACAAATGAAAATGCAGATGCGTTTTCACCCGTGAGGACTAAGATGGAATGCCTCGTTTCCGGTAAAAACAGTCTCCAGCTCTCTACACTCACCATACGAAACACAGCCAGCATTAAGCTAATATTTCACGCTCGTATTCTGTGAGAACGTGGTCCTTCCCCGGTCGAGCCGACCCATTCGTGCAACAACTATACTACTAATATGACAGCAGCATGGCTCTACCACGAATAAAAATGTTTCAATGAACTAGTACATAATGCACATAAAGTGCAAAATCGGACTTTTATTGTGGCATATTTTTGGAGCGTAAGAAGTCACTTCTCAAAAATATATATTCATAATAGTTTTTTTATTTCATTAAGAGATATATTTATTTTAATATCGAATAGTCTATTATGTTGATATTTCTTTAATAATTAATTAATAATAAATGAATCTTAATGTTTTTGCTTTTTAGTGATGTTGAATAATTTATATATCTGAAATAATAATCTTATACACCTGCTACGTCAACAGTTTGAGTCGAATTGACGAACTTGACCACTGGCGATCAGAATATAAATCTCGGCATTATGGTTTATTACTTTTGCCTGGAAAATCGTAACAACAGACATTTATGTTTTTATGTTTGTCAATTGTCAATTTCGTACGAGTTGAATAATGGATATTTTTATAATAAATTGGTATTAATGGCATCATCCGTTCATAATAATAGGTTGTCACAGCCAAGATCCTACGCATGTTGTAGGACTTGCAATATGTGGTGTTGGAGAGCATTTAAATGGCTTCCAGTATTGTTGGTAGTGTCGATCATAACATGGTCTTATTATGCCTACGTTATCCAATTGTGCATTTGTAAGTAATCAATTAAATCATTAATCAAAAATAACTTGTCCCTTATAATTGTTTCCTAAGTCAATTAATTGTTTTAATTTTCAGTTACTATTGAAAGTACTGTACAACAATGTATTTATCTCATAGTTTATCACATTCTACTGATTATGTTTTCCTGGTCTTATTGGCGGACAATATTTGCAGATATAAAACAGATTCCTGAAAAAGTAAGTATCATCAATCATCATACGTGTATTTTTATTTCTACCTATTTATACTACCTATATACTTAATTTATTTATTATTATGTTTTTCATAATTGTTATCCTTGACCTTAATACAATATTATAAAGGTGTATAAATATAATAAGTGTATAAAGGTGTACTTGATTATAAGGGATTACTATCCCCATGATTTAAACTGTGTGATATATTAAATGTTTAACTTTCTATAATAAATAGAACCACTCCTGGTACAAGTTACTTATTTGGCATGATTAATAACATAATAAGATGTGTTATTAGTATTGTGTGGATTTTTTAAACATGACTGTGTTGACCTATTTACATAAGGAATAGGGTTTCCGATTTCTCGAGGTTTTTTTAGTTCTCGGGTGTCGAGACTTCTCGAGCCTGATTTCTCGGGTCTTCTCGGGTTGTCGAGAAAAAATAAAATACGTCTAAATTTTTGTTTAATTAATAAAGAGTCTTTAATTTAACTGTTTATTTTACATGAAAAAAATCAACATAATTTTTAACAAAAAAAACAAGTTCTCAATAAAAAATCAGCTCAAAACAAAATTGCTAACTAAAAACAATCATACTTCTTCTCCTTATCATAACTAATCTCATCTCACTAATCTGTAATAAAAAACAAAATCTCTGTTAACAATCAGCTTAAAACAAACATCTTAACTAAAAACAATCATACTTCTTCTTATTATAACTAATCTCACTAATCTTTAATAAAAAACAAAATCTCTGTTAACAATCAGCTTAAAACAAACATCTTAACTAAAAACAATCATAATTTTTCTCATCATAACTAAAGATCACTCACTAATCTCACTATGTGGGTGGTATGGTATCACAATTTTTGGCAGTTTTAATGTAATTAAATAAGAGATATCTATCTACTATTAATACGAAAAATATAACTGTCTTTAAGCCTGCTTATTAATTCTTATGAAATATGCCTTAAGATAAACCAAAACATTAATAGATTTATCAGACAGCCGGCTCCTAATCTTACTGACCACATTTCCCGATATGGAAAATACCCTTTCATTTTCTGTTGAAGTCGGCTTGACTGAAATTAATGCTTTGTATAGTGTTTCCAGATTAGGGGTCCTCTTGCCTGTTTTTTCAAATAGCAAAAACTCTTTTTTTTATAATTGATTTGGAAAGCACCACAGCATTAGTTGATTCACCATTTCTCGAAACACCTTTTATTGCTCTCTCTAATTGAGCTGCAAAGCTGTCTTGTTCAGTTTCTGATTCGCTTACGTCTGCTTCGACAACTTCTGAATTATTTCCTGTCGAAGGTTCTGTAGTAGTGGGAACAGTGGGGTATAGACGATTGAATAAGTCTTCAGCGTATCCAATTAAAAATGTCTTGCTATTATCGGTAAAATAAGCACTCTTTTTGAGAATAAAATTATCGGGGCTGTTTAGGTAGCGTAGCAGCGATATTAGAGGTGTATTCCGACGATCTGATATTTTCATTTTAAGAGATTCTACTAACTGAAGAGCCAAAGGGTCGTCGATACTTTCTAATTGTTTTAGCAACACATCTGTTATAGCCTCTGCAGTTAGGAAATTGGCATCTTGTCTGCTCAATGCTTCAACTGCAAGTTTAGTTGGCGTCAATATCAACCGCAATTTTTGTAGTATAGGAATATTTTCCTCCTTCCATTTAAATGAGCTATCTAAATCAATCAAGGCTTTTTTTAATGGAATTTTTTAACTTCAAGAAACGCTCAATCATTGTTAGCATTGAATTCCACCTAGTTCTGACATCCTGTAATAAGACTAGTTCGGCCCCGAATTCAGTCTTCACATGTTTTTGTAGTGTGATATTTCTAAGGGGACTCTTTCTGAAAAATCTTATGATCGAACGGGTCTCATTTAGCACTTTGTTTATGTCGTCAATAGGCTGCAATATAGATTCATCATCAGATTCTTCGTCATCGTTATCAGTGCTGGCTTCATCAGAGCTGCTGTGTTCATCGTCGCTAACAAGTGTGTTTCTTCTAGCAACTGTAGTTACTGTTTTTTTTTTTTTGCAAAAGGTATCAAGAATAGCCAAATGGATGGCATGGTTTACACAGAGGACCATCTCACAGGGGCTCTCTCTGCCAAATTTTTTCATAACATTTGGCCCGTCGCTTGTTACGGCCAAGACATAATGCTCGAAGTTTACCCCAAAGTATTTCAAACGCCTCCTCTACTATTTCTCTAACCTCTGCGGCACCGCATTTTCCGGGTATGTAAACTAGCCCCAAATTGTAAACTTTTGCCTCTGCTGTATGAACACAGACGCTAAAATATCGTCTGTTTCGTATGCTCGTCCACTCGTCAATTGTCACACTTAGCCGGTTTCCTGATGTGCAAAGCTGAGAAAGCTCTTTTATCATCTCTTTCTCCTTTTCATCATAAAACTTCAATATTAGGTTCATAACTTCGGTTTGGGTCTTTGGAAGTTTATACCCCTTGGCAGCAAGTGATTCACGGATAAATTCACTTTTAGTAATGCCTCTTATAGTAAAACCATCTTGGGCTGAAAGTTTAGCTAAAATTTCACCTAACGATTTTCTGGGTTGAACGTCAAATTTCAGTGTTTGCTGTACGTGCATAGTTTCAAAATCACTTCTTAATTTTTTTGGTGCCGTCACCCCGGAACTAGACGAACTGGTAGATGCTTCTTCTGTGTCCATTTGAACCTCGGTCGATCTTACTCTTACATCAATTTTGTGTACATGAGCTAAATGCCTCACTAGTCCGCTTGTGTTTGATCCTTTACAGGCTATGGTTTTAGGACATTTTAGACATTGCGCATTTGAGGCATCCTTATTTTTCTTGAAATATTTCCAAACTTTGGAAGTTTCCATTTTGGTTCATTAGTTGTAAAATCTATAACAAACAGTTCAAGAATTAGTAAGTATTTTAGTTTAGTACCTAGTACCTACAAAATAGGAGGCCTATGCCCAGCAGGGGGTTGATGTGGTTAGGTTAGGCTGATGATGATGATGAAAAAATAGCTGTGTCCTTTTGTATACTACGTTTGGTAGGATTGGTTGGATACGTTTTGTGTTATTTGTAGTAGATAAATTGCCATAAAACAACGTCTTACTCTTAATATTATGTGTTTAGTTTAGAACTTTAGGCTTTTGTGGGATTATTTTATTACAACATCTGCAATACAAATGCAATTAATGAAATCAGTAAATATTTATGCACTAACAATTCTCTTATTTGATTAAAAACAAAAGTTTTATTTCTTTAACATACCTATTCATTTTAAACAAAAATATTATTTTGGTAATACAAAAGTACTTACAAAACAAAACAAACACTTGAACTATTTAAATAAATAATAACAATACTTACCTGTTTGTTCTGCGATTCTATTACTCGTGCGTCACTAAATAGTAAATACACTCACTATGCTCGGTTTATGATCCGAACGATCCGAACACGGTGGGAGTTGAAACACGAATGAACAAAATACAACTGGGGCCGCGTCGCGCTTGCGTTTGTCGGCAAAAACAAAGGATACTGACAGACACGAGCCGTGCTGTCAAAGGATGCCGCTGCCGCCTCGCATTTACAAAGAAAGCTAAGCGTAAAAATGTTTATTTAAACTTCTCGATGTCTCGACTTTTCTCGAGCTGAATTTCCCGGGTACGAGACCGACCGATTTTTGGGAACAAACCCTAATAAGGAACTGTACTGTATGATAGATGTTTGTTCTAACTTACAATGTTAAATATCATAAAAGTATATTATTTTTAAAATAAATGTTAACTTATTGGGATAATATCAAAAAGTTGTACCTTTGGTCTATTTCACATTAAAATAACTTGGTGATAAATTTTAGAATCCATGATTCATTATTGTCATGTATGTCAGACTAGTTTACTTCTGATAATATTTTAGTTACAAAGCTAGAATTATTTTAGTAAAATTGCTATTTTCCTTTTGCTGGAAATTCAGCATAAGCATGTTCATTTGTATATTTAATATATTAGGGATATAAAATGGAATCGGCAATTTATTCTTCAATTGCCAATTTCACCAGTATGTGCTTCACCCTGATGAATTAATAGATAGATGAGGCTCTGGCGTACAGATAGTTGTAAATCCATTTTTACAAAAACTGAAACCATGTTACGCCAATTGGTAATAAGTACAAACATTATTAGAATGGGGGTATCAGTGCTTAGCTCATTAATATATATGTCAGTGCATTCTTGGCTCTTCATATATTACAATACTTATTGGCAACTAGTATCCCATACAAGTCTTGAGAGTGAGTCACCACAAAGTATTGCACATACATTTCAATGGTCAAACACACACTCCTTATAAGTATCTATTACATTGTATATGGATAATCATCATACTGCTAAGGAGTAACATACTGTATCATATTAAATTAAGATACTTATATAAAAATTCTAATAGTTGATATTCAGTGACCTTTTTTTCATTGTGTATTGCTATTAACTATTGTTCTTACACTTTGTGTCATGGTTTTAAAAATTTAAGAATGGCAACGCTAACTTAAACAGACTATTAGTGTCATATGATGTGATATTGATATTTTTTTTTATAGAATAAGAAAGCACAGAGTCCACCTGATGGTAAGTGGATGCTTGGCTATAGACATCTACATATCTTGATAAGAATGGTTTCCTCGGGAAGAAAGGGAGGATTTAAGTGGTCTGATATTTCGAAAACTAGGCTTGATTACTTAAAGTGGTTTTTGAAACCTTTAGAATTTTTAAGACTTGTTGATTAAATATTATTGATTAGTTATTTCTAAATATCTTAATTTTTTATTTAGTTTAATTAAAATCTGAAATTATAACATACAAATTAAATTACAACAGATGAAATAAGGATAATTTTACGTTTTTCTTAAGGGCCTTACAAGCTTTACTTGTCAATGGTAAATCTATGGTAAACTTAATAATGACCCCTTTTTCTTAAAAATGTATATAATTTTCATAAATTTTAATGTATAAATATACTTAAATCAATTTATTTATTCAAATTAAGAACTAAATTTAAATTACTGCTTAATAATATAAAATATTATATATTGTTGATCATATTAAATATTAATATGATCATAATAGTAGTAGGATCATATTGTGACCATATTCATTTAATCAATAACAAATAATTTACTGTACTGATTGAAATAATTGTTTTGCAGTATAAATTACCTGAAGAAGAATTGGAAAAGTTACTTGGTGCAGAATCGGAAGATGCTCAAAGGACAATTCTAGAGAATTTTGCCAAAGATCTTCCTGTAGTTACTAGGTACTATTTCATTTTAATTATAGCTAACCATTTATCACTTTCCCCAATTTTTTATCGTACATGACAACTCTAGTATGTTACCATAGAATTGTTTGTTACCTGTAATGTAGTGTAGTGGTGGTGGAAGAATATTCACTACCACTTATTATCCCCTAGGTGTTATATTAGGCAACAGGGAGTTTTTTTGTGATAACAACACAACAATAAAAAGTGCAGTTTCCAACGCGCCTGCCAAGCTTGCTAAAATTGCAAATATCCCCCTTATGAGGCAATCTATATATAGCGAGGCCCACATTAAGCAGTGTACTTTGATGAATGAATCAAGTTGTTATGAGGAAGATGCTGATACCCATCTCTTGTTTTAGTTACCCTTTGTTACCTCCATCCATGTGATGGCATAAGGTAGTGGATTATCTTGGAAAATATTGTAAATAATATTTATATACAAAAATGATGTCACATTGTTTGTCCGCGATGAACTTGTGGGTGTGGTGGTTAGGTATTTACAAGACATACCGAACTACCATACAAGTCACACCCACATTGGTGACCCCGATGTGATCTGAACACCCAACCAACAACCTACGGAAACTTCAAGCTTAATCATCGTCATAGAATATCCCACTCATTCGCTCCTGAGCAGATATTGTCTGCAGCCTTCATATCCTGCTAGCTATCTAGCTTCACAAGGTTCATCGCAGCACTGGAATAATAATGCTTCCTGTTCCTTCAAGCTACTCTCTGTGCTATACAGTGTTCGGCACTGATCTGAGCCTTACTGCTCGCCTTTGCTTCACGGCACTCTCGCCTATTACTTGTCTTCTTCTCGACTCACTGCAGACTACAAGGCAATCTCCTGGCACTTGCACATTCGTCGGCAACGAGGCTGCACTATCGATCTCCGGTCTGAGCAGAAGGCTGATGTGCCGGCGCTGTCGTTGCGCCGCTAGCGATGCACACCGAAGCCTAAATCACGCTATCAAAATTCCGAATCATAAACAGTATATATAGAACATCTTCGAACTATCATTGGGAGTGTTGGCCGCTCCCCGGGCAAGGTGCAGGGAGAAGTTCTCCTCCCACGGCCACAGTGTTGACCCCGACGTGATTAATTTCACTCTGTAAAATTATTGTTAGTAAAAGTTGTTTGTTACCTCAAAATAACATTACTTCATTTTGAGTCACATAGTTCTTTGTCCTATCCTTATTAGTATTCGATTATTTATAATATATACCTACTTAAATACTATGTTGGGTGTGGTGGTTAGATATTTGCAAGACATATCGAACTACCATACAAGTCACACCCATAAACTCCTAAACAACAAGATGAAGCTGTACGAGTCGCATAGACTAACAGCACTAACATCTAGACAATAGTAATACTCCTAAACTACTGAACTGATTTCAATGAAATTTTGCACACTGTGCAGTTTGGTTGAACTTGAGAGATAGATAGTTTTTTATCCTCTAAGTGACCCTCTATATTTTTACTGCGAATTTAAGGATTTTTTTTTATAGGACAAAGGGTCGGCTAAGAAGGCAGAACAATATCTGCTTGTAGCTAGTATTTTTATTTTACAGTACATTAATCGTAAATGTTATTAAAAAATAAGTGGTGGTTAGCTTCTACTTCCAATGCCTTTCAGGAATGCAATTAGTCTTAAACTCATAACTTTAACTAAATTAAAAAAAACGACCACACTTTTTATATTCCATTTCATAACTTTGTAGTCCTGCTGATTAATATGACTTTTTGTTTCCTTTTCCATTTACAAGAATTTTTTTTTTTCAGAACAATGTCAGGCTCAGTTCGCTATTGCAACCGATGTGTGATAGTAAAGCCGGACCGCGCCCACCACTGCAGTATCTGTGCCCGATGCGTTCTCAAAATGGACCACCACTGCCCGTGGGTCAACAACTGTGTCTGCTTCCACAATTACAAGTTCTTCATGCTCTTCCTTGGTTATGCCCTCATCTACTGTCTATTCATCATGTCAACGTGCCTGCCTTACTTCATTAAGTTCTGGAAGGTAGATGTCTTAAATCTTACTGTCAGATACACATTTTATATCATGTTGTATTTTTGTTCTCTATATATCTCTATCTATTTTCCTTACTTCCTTTTGTGTGTGTGTGTGTGTTCTTTCTTATAAGTATTTTCAAACCGACTTTAATGACATTTGGCTGTAAGATAGCTTGCATCCTGAAGATAGACAGAGCTACCTATTTCTTGTTTTAATTTCCTCACAGACACATCTTGGAGAGCTAGTGTCATTATAAGAGAGATGAGGAAACCTTTTGCTAGCATTATAAACGCAGTGGAGTAAAAGTCTAAAGTCATAACTATCTTTATTTCAACAGAAGATTCAATCAAATGGTGTGACATTGCGCAGATGTAAATTAGCGAATTGATTAGATAGTAAAAAAAAAATTTGAATTCAAATTTTTATTGTTTACAAACCTAGTCTGCGTTGAGCTACAAATATTGCCGAAAAAAATTATGTAAATTGGCCTACAGGTTATGGAAGAGATAGATTTCAAAGGATCGTTTTCTTGCGCCATGGTAGCTCAGCTCCGACAAGTCTTTGAAATTAACCTCTCTATATATATTTAAACAATGAAACTATATAGATAAAGTTTAAGCGACACAGGAGATACTTAAATCATAGGATCTATAGGAATGTACAATGTACTTTGAACTGCTATGGAGCTGAGCGCCTGTTTGGTTCAACTTTTGTACTGAACTTGGCCCCCCTTTTTACAATTATGGTTTCGGTGGGATATCATTAATTTAAAAAAATCCTTTTATTAATCCAAATAAATACCTCTAACGTTTGTTCTTGCATTTACACTTCATTGTTTTACTTTTCAATTTCAAGTAATATAAGAATGAATTGTCGACAAATTTATTGGTGCAATTAGTTTCAAGTGCAGTACTTTGAAAAATATTCACTACCTCATATCAATGTGTGGTTTCGTAGGAGCCGATAAAGGGAAACAAATTGGTAGATGGGCAGCAGCTTCCTGATATTGACTAAAAATAAAGAACTGTGATACCTGCTTCACAAGCGTGGCAACTTTGGGAAATTACCCTTTTATAAGGCAATCTATAGTGGAGGCCTATGTTCAGCTGGGGACTATAAAGGCTATAATGATACAGCAGTACTTTGAACTACTTGGTTCATGTAAATATACACACTCTCACGCAATTGGGTCACCTTATCTTTTCCGAACTTAGCTAAGACACTGCGGTGTGTTTGAATTAATTTTTTAATTACAAGCTTTTATTTAGTTTCACCTTGCTGGTGTCTGTAATCAAATCTTGCAAGTCAAATTTGTCTGTGTCACTTCCGGTTTCTGATTAAGCTAAAACTTTGCATGCATATATAAATCGGATGACAATGGAATATTATTACAACTTTATTTCTGGTAATAAATTAGTTGTTGCTCAGGAAAGAACACTCTTTTGAAATTAGTTAGTTTAGTGAAAAAAAATTGTATTCTTTTGTTTATTTATTTATTGAGTATTGAGTAACATAAAAGTAAATTGCTAAGTCTTCCCTCAACTTCACAACTTAGTGGGCCAAGTGAATGATAACAAAACAATGCATAGTACTCTATTCATGTTGTATGCTAATAATAATTCTCACATGCTTAAATGAGACTAAAATTATGTATCTGCTTGTTGGGAAAATTAAGCTAAGTCACAAGCAAGCATTTTTAAACATAAAACATATAAATGTAATTTTCAACATTAACACAAAGATTGAATTTCTTTTTTGAATAACGACACCATTATTGAAGAAATAGAGAAAACGCGCACGTGGGTGAAAGTGCAGGAAACGTTGGCGCTTTGGCATACATTTATGTCCTACATTTCAAACATGGTGTGATTGCAACTATAACACTAATATGATATATAATATACTAGCGTTCCGCCCCGGCTTCGCACGGGTGATTTGTTTTGGTGAGAACAGCGCCACATACCAGGTCCAAATGTGAATTTAAACCATCTAGGGACCTATTCAAACACACAAAAAATTTCATCAATATCGGTCGAGCCGTTTTTGAGTTTTAGAGCAAGACTAATTGACAGCAATTTATTTACATTTTATCTTGAAATATACAAGCTATCATAACTTTTATTTTTTTTATACGTAGGTAAGAACGACTATACAGACCCTAAATCCTACAGACCTATTAGCCTCACATCCTTTCTCCTAAAGACGATGGAGAGGATGTGTGAACGGGAGTTGAGAGGGTCGGCGCTAATTAACTTACCGCTACACGAAAAACAACACGTCTATAACTTAGGTAAATCAACAGAATCGGCACTTCACCAGGTAATAACAAAGATTGAAGAGGCCATCCAAAACAAAGCAATATGTCTAGGCTCTTTCATAGACATAGAAGGTGCTTTTGACAGAACAAATTTCTGCAGCATAAAAGGTGCCCTAAGTAGACATAATGTTGAACCGGTACTGATTGACTGGATAGTAAAAATGCTCAGTACACGAACAATAAAGATTGCTGGTGAATCTCAGACAATTCAGATCGTGAAAGGATGCCCGCAGGGTGGGGTTCTTTCACCTCTCCTGTGGAATATGGTCATTAATGAACTCATCAGCAAATTAAACGCGAACCATTTCTACAGTCGGTTATGCAGATGATCTGACAATACTGGTCTCTGGTAAGACAGCAAGCATTGTGTGCGATCTGACCCAAGTGGCTCTCCATATTGTGGAGAGATGCTGCAGGGAATATGACCTAACCGTTAATCCAAATAAAACGGTTATAGTAATGTTCACACAAAAGCAAATGCTGAATAACTATTCCTTTCAAAACAAAAAACCCTTAAAAAAAAAAAGCTAGTTTGACTTTCTGGCAGTGCAGAAACATGATTGGCAAACGATGGGGTTTAACGCCAAATTATACTGTGGCGTACAAAACTGTAATTCAGCCCATGATCACATATGGCTCTCTGGTATGGTGGACCAAAACCAATGAAGCCACCACTATACAAAAGCTTCACCGTTACCAGAGATTAGCTTGTATGGCTGCCACGGGCTGCATAAGGACTACACCAAGCAGCTTTGTAGGCTATGCTGGAGCTAACACTGCTTCATCTACATATACAACAAGAAGCAACTTTAGCTGCCATTAGACTCAAGATCCTAAATCTTTTAAGTAAGAGTAGAGTCCCCCATACAGATATAATCAATAGAATTTACTTAAAAATTCCTATCTTACAAGCCAAGTATGATAGGATCCCAAAACAATTTGTATTCGATAAGAAGTACAGGATAAAATTGAAGGAAACTGACCATCTGGAAGGATTGGGTCCAAGAGAGCTTGTTGGAGCCACGTGTTTAAGGCTGCCGAAAGTCTAGTTCCCCGGTCAAACCTCAAACCTATTACGCGAGATATTAACTAAAGTGGACTGTATTTGCGATTGCTTCTACGCTTACGTAAAAGCGACTACTATAGCATGCGGTACAATGCACTCGCTCTTCCCTAAACTAAAACTATTACTTGCCAAATCGATGAAAGGAATCCTGCCTGATGAGGAGAACACAGAATTGGAACGGGTTAAAGCAGTTATTAAATATTAATCAGGCAGCAAATTAAGGAATGTTGACTCACCGGGGTTTCTTCTATCCTGTCGATCACTATAGCGACTTCTGGAACACTCCGGAGAGAGGCGGTGCGCGACGATATCTCACACGAGGTGAGGCGGGTTCCTGGAGCTCGACTGCTTCCAGGCCAAGGCGGTTTCCACTAGTGAGGTGTTTCCAAACGAGCGTGCGGGAAGAGGAGGTTGTAGTTCAACGACGGCTGCGACGGGAAGAAGAGGCTCGCGCATCGGTCGCGCGTGTCTTATATATCCTCGGCTCGGGTGATTACGCGATGTTCTAGAATCGTCTTCTTTCCCCTCCCACCCCACCACCCCGATGTGTCGATAGGAGGGTACGAATGATATTGTTTGGAAAGGAATAATGATTCTACAAGTTCCTACCGTCAAATAAAAAAACGCGAATGGTTTTCCGCGCAACCATCTCCCCCCGCCCTTGAAGGATTTCCTTCAAAAAAAATAACTAAACAACTAGAGCTAAGATCGACTAACAAATAACTAACTAACGCTAAGATTACCTAAATTAAACTACAATTTCAATCTAGAAAGCTAATTTAAATTATGGAAGAGGCAAGGGGCACAAACGGATAACAGGACGTAGGTAAGACCCAACCGTGGTCTTAACGCGAGCTATCCTAATTACTCCGTCGGAACCGGGAAAGACCTCCTCGACGATTCCTAACGGCCAGTGGAGAGGCGGCGTATTCTCCTTAGTGAGCACAACTACGGTTCCTACAGCTAAAGGCTCTGTCGCTGTGTTCCATTTTTGCCGAGACTGCAAAGTATGCAAGTATTCCATCCTCCATCGTTTCCAAAACGATTGCACTAACCGATCTAATAATTTGTGGCGTGTGGAAATGCTAAGTCTGTTCTCATCCATATCCGCGGCGGGCAGATACCTTAGAGGCGTTAAAGTCAAAAAATGTGCTGGAGTTAGAGCCAGCGGTTCCGAGGGGTCACTAGATAACGTCCGACAAAGTGGGCGGCTATTCATTACGCATTCAATTTGAGCGAGCACCGTACTTAGCTCTTCGAAGGACAAAATTTGATCTCCTATTACTCGGTATAAGTGGCTCTTTAGACTTTTAATATTAGTCTCCCAATTGCCCCCAAAATGACTCGCGGCTGGGACGTTCAGAGACCACTCAATGCGGTTCTCGGCTAGAATGTGAGCAAACTCCGAATTATAATACTTGCTAGCTAAGAGCTCGTGTAGTTCCGATAGAATACGTTTTGCACCGACGTAGTTCGTACCGTTATCCGAATATAATTTACTTACAGGGCCTCTGCGCGATAGAAATCTTTTAAATGCACCCATAAAGCCTGCTGTGCTTAGATCACCAACGAGTTCTATATGCACTGCTCGAGTAGTTAGACATACGAAAATGCAGACGTAAG